GCGTGCAGTGCTGTGGGTGCGCGAACGCCTCCGGCCTCACCGCCTTGGCCGAGGCTTGAGCCAGCCTCGCGCGGACGTGGCCGACGTCCAAGTTTGCAGCCTGGTGTCTTGACGCGCTGCCCAGGTCCGGCTATCAGCGCTGCATCGTGGTGGGACCGGCTCAGCCCTCTGGATACCTGACGCCGGCGCGGAGACGTGCGCGAGCGTTGCTCCCGGCTGGAGCCTTGCACAGCGACGTCGACGGTCTGTCTTCGCCCGTAAATAAACTGTACGCAGCCGATGGACGCGAGCTCAACTGCTGCGAGACGATCACATGTGACGTGGCCTCAAGCGCGAACACAGCTGCCGTGACTGTATCTGTCATGCAGGGAATCGACAGCGCTCTGCTCTCATGGCATGAGCCCATCACCCTCGGTACACCGTCGCCGGACTTCCCTGTCTGGGTCGTGAGCGTCGCCACCAGCTCCGCCGCTACCGCCCCTGCGCGGCCAGCCCCTTCGCCGCTAGCCCAGGTGTGACGTCAGTATCGTCCAGCGGGATGCGATGCCACGGCCGACGGCCGGCAGCACCTCGCCGGGCACGCAGTGGGTGGTGCCGCACGCCTCCCACGCATATGATGCACGAGCTAACAGAACACGCACGGGATCGGTCTTCTGACCCCCGTCGGTTTCGCACGTGAGCCGTTCCCTAACTGGGAGCGGGCTCTCGCGGAGCCCTTACGGAAGGAACAGGCAGCTCACCTGGCGGTACTCAAGGGGGCCTTCCCGTGCGATGCCAGCACGGCCTCGCCACTTGGTGAGAGGCCTAGTGTCCCGGTACGCATCCCACTGACGGACGACGCTCGTCCGCATCCATTCGTGGCAGCGCAACCTATCCCGTTCGCGTGGTTGGATGACATCAGCCGGCAGTTGGATGAACTCCTAGAGCGGGGTGCCATCGCTCCTGCCGACTTCCTCACCAGATGGTGTCATCCCATCGTTCCGGTGGCGGAGCGAGCCGATCCTGCCGGCAGGAAGGGATCGTCAGCCCGCCTGACCGTGGACCTGACCCGGCTGAACAAGACCGCTTGGTGGGGCGACCGGCCGGTGCGCACACCGCAAGACAGGGTCCCCAGCATCGGGGTCGGTGCGCGCCACTTCATGAAGCTCGATCTGCTTGATCTGATCTCGAAGCCCGGTCTGGCTTCTTCCAGGTGCCACTCGGCCGCCGTGACCAGGAGCACGTCATTCGCGTCTTGAAGCGGTGTGACGCAGCAGGCACCACGCTGCACCCCGGCAAGCTGCTCTTCGCCGGGCCATCCGTCAGTTACTGTCACTACGACGTGACCGCTGACCGCTGTACAGTCCACCACCGGAAGGTCAAGCCCAGTGTTAAGTTACCCACACTGGGCAACATCACCGGCCTGCGCAGCTTCATGGGACTGGTGAATCAGCTGGGCGCTGTCTCGTCAGATGCTGCACTGGCAGCCGCGCCGTTGCGGAGCCTGCTCCCACCGCCGGAGCCCCGGAACACGTGGATGCAGACTGAGACTCGCTCCCGACCCTGCGGAGCCTGCTCCCACCGCCGGAGCCCCGGAACACGTGGATGTGGACTGAGACTCGCTCCCGACCCTGCGGAGCCTGCTCCCACCGCCGGAGCCCCGGAACACGTGGATGCGGACTGAGACTCGCTCTCGACCCTGCGGGGCCTGCTCCCACCGCCGGAGCCACGGAGCGCGTGGATGTGGACTGAGACTCGCTCCCGACCCTGCGGAGCCCGCTTCCACCGCCGGAGCCCCGGAACACGTGGATGTGGACTGAGACCCGCTCCCGACCCTTCGAAACCGAGAAAAAAGACGCTCATTTCACCTCCGGTACTCGCGTTCTTCGACCTGCAACGGCCCACCGCCCTGCAGGCCGACTGCTCTCGACTGCACGGCCTGGGGTACACTCTGCTGCAACGTCATGGCGAACAACGGTGGCTGGTTCGGCGCGGCTTTCGATTCAGCCCGGTCGCGGAATCCCGCTACGCCGTCATCGAGCTCGAGCTGCTCGGCATGACGTGCGCCGTCCAAGAGTGTTGTCTACTTCCTGCTGGTCTCTCGTCCTTCGATGTTCTCAAAGACCACCGTGCACTGGTGCACATCCTCAATCAGAGACCCCTGCCGGCGATCGACACCCCGCGGCCGCGTTGTCTGCGCATGAAGCTCCTCGCGTACAGCTTCGCCACAGCCTGGCAGTCCGGCAAGCACCACGGCATACCAGACGCTCTCTCCAGAGCCTGCGCGGACGACCCCTCCCCCCCCCCCCCTACGGATGAGCAGATCGCTGAAGAGGACGTTACCCATCAGCTCCACAGCCTCGTCGTGCGCACTGTGACCCAACTCTGTCCAGACGGAGTCCGGGTGCTTTCCATCACACCCTCCACCTCACCGTGCGGGTTGAGACTTATTTTACATGTTAGGAGAGGCCCCCGTGCAGACGAATGAAAACAAAAGGCATGGTTTTTTGTGTGTGGAGTCGGGGCGGCGCAGGAGGCAGGGAAGGAAGGGAGGTGGGAACAGGGGCAGGAAGCGCGGGAGGAAGGCCGTTGTCCCTTGCCGGCAGGCATGGGACGAGAGAGAGAGAGAGAGAGAGAGAGAGAGAGAGAGAGAGAGAGAGAGAGAGAGAGAGAGAGAGAGAGAGAGAGAGAGAGAGAGAGATATATATATATATATATATATATATATATATATATATATGTGCCGAATTTATTTACGAGTTGTGGTATGAGTAGGAGGAGTAGAAATAGGTTGCTGTGAGAGTTCATTTGCCCTCTTCCCGTCCAAACTCAGCAAGCTCTTTGAAAAGTAACGCTCAGGAGCCCCATCCCCTCCCCAGTCTGTGAGGAGGCCTCATTTTGTCTCCAAGGGGACCGAATAGTAAGTCGCACATTCAGTGAACATTTGCCCCCGTGATTTGCTGTCGGCCTGCACACCTGACCGGCCTCGGTGCGTCCGGGCGCGGACGGCCGGCCAGCAGGCGCGGCGGCCTGCTGCGGGCGCGAGGAGAGCCGTCTGCACCGGCCGGCCGCCGCCCGCTGGGCGCTGCTGCACCCGGAGGTGGAGCGCAAGCACTGCCAGCACGGTAACCGAGCCCAGTCCACGGCGCACGCGCCTGGCCCGAACTCCGTCCGCCGCCGTCCGCTCAGATCGAGCCTCTCTGACGTCCGCCCGCTGAGCCAGCGCTCGTGTGGTTACCATCCGCTTGGATCGTGCTCTTCCGATGCTCGTCGCCTGGCTGACACTCCTTTGATTGTCGTCTGCTTGGTGTGGTTACCATCCGCTTGGATCGTGCTCTTCCGATGCTCGTCGCCTGGCTGGCACTCCTCTGATTGTCTTCTGCTTGGTGTGGTATCACCTGCTTGGATCGTGCTCTTCCGATGCTCGTCGCCTGGCTGGCACTCCTCTGATTGTCTTCTGCTTGGTGTGGTATCACCTGCTTGGATCGTGCTCTTCCGATGCTCGTCGCCTGGCTGTCACTTCTCTGATTGTCGTCTGCTTGGTGTGGTATCACCTGCTTGGATCGTGCTCTTCCGATGCTCGTCGCCTGGCTGACACTCCTTTGATTGTCGTCTGCTTGGTGTGGTTACCATCCGCTTGGATCGTGCTCTTCCGATGCTCGTCGCCTGGCTGGCACTCCTCTGATTGTCTTCTGCTTGGTGTGGTATCACCTGCTTGGATCGTGCTCTTCCGATGCTCGTCGCCTGGCTGTCACTTCTCTGATTGTCGTCTGCTTGGTGTGGTATCACCTGCTTGGATCGTGCTCTTCCGATCTTCGTCGCCTGGCTGGCATTATTCTAATCATCACTTGCCTGGATGGTGATCTTCAAATGGGCGTACATCCGTGCTGATGTATGCTCTTCGACGCGTGGCTGAAGCGCTTGGAATTGGAATTGCGATGATGGACGGTGTCGGTCTCTGCCGCGTGCTGCCATTCTTATCATTCGTGCTTGCGCATGAGGGTTGCGGAGCAAGCGCTGCGCAGCGGGCGAGGATGCATGCGCATCGTGCTTTATGTCCATGAGAGCACCTGGCTGTTAATGTGTAGGGTGACTCGTAAAATCTACAGAGCTCCTATGCACCCATGAAGCAAATAGATGTAGGCCGGGCTGAACTAGATTGTTAATAAAGGATGGTGAATGTTTTGAAAACGTGGCTAATGACTGTTAAGGCAGTGAATCTGTCGAAGACTGAAGCTCATATTTAACTGACGCTGGGCTAGATCGCTCCATGACAAGTTGGGTTTATACTTGGATAGGTTGCTTAGTGGCTGTCGTGATGTGTCCAGTGGTTATTTTCCCTTTTTACCCGATGGATGCACAATGCAGCAGTGCGGTGTACGGAGACTTGTGGTGATTTTCATGACGGTTCATTTTGCTGAAATACTTCCTGATGACACAAGTTTTCTTTAAGCAACAGTGGCCCCAATTCTTGCAAGCCTCACACCGTGTAAATATTTCCAAAAGCTTGGAATTAATCACAACGATGATGCACGCATAAAACTTCTGGAAAAACTGTCTTTTGGGTCAGCCTCCCCATCACAATGTTCGTGAAGCTCCCTTTTGCAACTCTCCTCCTTTAGAAGATCACAAAACGCTTGAACAGACAAAGCCTTTCCGTCGCATATCTCGTGCAAACCCTAACGTATGCGACAAGGATCAGTATTCGCATGGCCAGCTATTGTGGAAACAAGCCATCTGTGTCATCAGGATGTTTCACATCATGCTCCATGCATACGTCCAAGGCTAGGCAACAGGTCATTTAAAACGGTGACAAAAAACAATACTTGACTATTTATTATTTGGTTATCAGGCGATTACTAGTTTTGGCGTAGTACAAGGAGTCTGAGCCCCACCAAGTTCCATGCCGCGTTCGGCCTTGATTTTTGTTGATATGGTAGCTGACCGCTCACAACTCTGCGGTGGTCGGACTCGGCATCATGGACTAACGGACTTTCTGACATAGGGTTATCCCTTTCCAGGAACCTTGTCGCCCAGCTCGTCTGGACATCTTGTGCACCAGAACGCCCTATCAGCAAACACCTACAGTTTCGGAAATCAGTCGAGCCAGGTGAGCAGGGGCGCTGGGTGGGCGAAGCCAATCTAACTGTCAGATGAGCTATAATGATGGATGTTTACCTATTGCAATCAATCATTCAGTGACATACATCGTGAAGCGATTCGGTCGTCCCTTCTCTACTGGCCGACGGTCAGCCCGTTCTCCCCCTCTCGCTCGGGTGCTGCCTCTGACGAATCCGCATCCCCCGCCCCCCTCCCCGCAGCAGCTGACCGGTCTGCTGCCGTCTCCACTGACTCGGCCTGCTTCCTCTCTCCCTGGGGTGCTGCCTTTGACGGAGCCGCATCCCCGCAGCACCTGACCGGCCTGCTGCCTTCTCCACTGACTCGGCCTGCTCCCCCTCTCTCTGGGGTGCTGCCTCTGACGGAGCCGCATCCCCGCAGCAGCTGACTGGTCTGCTGCCGGCCGGAGGGCACCACACAGCCGAGCCCGCCGGCTCCCAGATGTTCCCCAGCATGTCCGTCAACGTCAGCATGAACATGAACATCGGCGTGTCGTCCGGATACCAGCTGCCGGACGAGTCCTTCGCGCACCAGGTGACAGCGTGAACGCGCTTGACATGCTTGTCCTCATGGACCACGCGTTGAAGGCACGCGGGATGACGTGATATGTGATCGTGAAAAGGATACTGTTCGACAAGACTGTTCCGCGTGCCAATCACCGGTCTCGATAGCACGGTGAGCGGTGAGCGTAGAGCGATGGGTGCCGGAACACACGTGCGCTGAGACCTGCGGCACGGACTGAGTCTGGAGATGGCGGTGTGAAGGTGACGCGTGCCGCTTTGTTCCGCAGCTGCCGTGGAGTGGCAGTCCGCCCCAGTACCCGTCCGGCATGTTCAGCCCCCAGCCGCCCCTAGTCAGCCCTCTCTCCATGTCGGCCAGGTGAGCAGCCACGTCGCTGGTGCGCCTGTGCACGGATGCATTCTGAACGGATCACATGACTTATTTTGCCTTCCCTACACGCCCCAATGTAATTTCCTTCAGTCAAGTCATGACCATGACGTACATCAGTGCAGTGTATTGTTTCGTATCCAACGACCAATCGCAACGTGCCCATCACGCTTCGAAATCTGCTCCGAAAGGCACTTGACAAATGAACAAACGAATGCCTGTGCGGGATCCGAACTCAGCAGTCCTGCCCATTTTCATCATTAGGTGGTCTTGGAATCACCAGTGCAGCATTCAACATGCGCCTTGTCTGCTCGGGGTAAGAGCGTTAATGACTGCGCGGATCTTGCCCAGTGCCGGGTGCGCCGTTTGTTCAGTGCGCGGCCGCGTTACGGGCTACGCCCTGTAGGCCTGGCGGGCCGGGCCGGTGGCAGCTGGGAACGGGTCAGAGCCGCGCGCGGCCGCATTACTGGCTGCACCCTGTCGGCCTGGCGGGCTGGGCCGGCGGCGGCCGGGGGCGGGTCAGAGCCGTGTGCGGTAGCGTCGGCGGTCCACGGGTGCACACCAGGGGCTTCCCGCCGGCTCCCTGTGGCGAGTCATCGGTCGGCTTATGTTCCCCGGCGCGTCGGAGCCGCCGACATGTGCTTGTCCTGATGTCGGAACTGGACGCGAACATTGGCTGCCCCATGTCATCAGCTTTGAGGCTGTGCGCACACGTTGCAACTGAGCTGGGGAACTGGTATGGTAAAACTCAACACTTGTTACTTCTTACCAATACTCGTCCTGCAGAATTTTGGATCACGTCTATTTTACACAGTTTATTCCGTTACACTCATAAGTCAAACGGACGTCACAGTGTTGCTGCGCCAACACCGTGTCGTTTGTCAAGCGAAGTAACTACAATAGTCAGTGGCTTCAACGATGCACGTTTCCTACCGCTGAGGTGTCTACGCGAGATAAAACTGCACGCCTGCGGGGAGAGGCGTATGCCACGTCATTATTAGATGCGACCGTCTCCGCACATGTGCACCTCACAGATAAAACGGTTGAGGAAGGACCAACTCACACAACACGTTGCGTGTGATTGCATCACAGAATTGTCCTTACGAAAGAGGCGTCATCGCATCAGAGATCGTGCCCGGAACACCATTTGTTGCTTTTCGCGTTTCAGTTTGCACAGCCGGTGTCGCGCGCGCCGCAGGGGTTCGAGGGCACACGCGTCCCAACTGGGACCGGACCTAGTGCAGTTCCGGGCGGGCTGCGGATCTGTCCCAGGCGGTGGGTCGTCCGCGATTTCAGCCACACTGTTATCAATCTAACGGAAATTCAAGCCGAGCATATATAAATGTGGCCGTTGTCTGGAGCGTGATGCAAGCGCAACCGCAGCCAGTGGGCCTATGGCGGGTCAGCTGCGCGCGTCACACCCTGAATTAGGGGCACCTGTTTTGTTCTGATTTTTATAAACTTAGTCCGATAATTTTCATCGGATGCATTTCTGGAACAGAGTTCGCGACAAGCAGTGCTTACTGAGTGAACCCCGACCCCACCATCTTGCGGAGAAATTCCAGTTCAACAGCAGGCTTTTATGGTGAGAGTTAAACATGTCACAAAAGAAGAAAGAAAGCTGCACGTGCTGCACGGTCTGCCCCGCCCCCTGACGTTATCTGACCTTGAGCGATCACTGCCAACAGTCGCAAGCCATCCTTGTCAGGGACAAGTGGTGGGCTCTGGAGCAGCTTGAACTCACCCACTCCGTCACGTGCAGAATGGGAGAGGGGCGCTCCGACCCGTTGAGCTCGGGAGGCGGACTTGAGCCTGAGCCGTGATGTGAAAGTATTGTGGCAGTCTTGTGGCAGTCCTGAGCCGTGATGTGGCAGTCCTGTAGCAGTCCTGTGGCAGTCCTGATCCGTGATGTGGCAGTCCTGTGGCAGTCCTGATCCGTGATGTGGCAGTCCTGTGGCAGTCCTGAGCCGTGATGTGGCAGTCCTGAGCTGTGATGTGGCAGTCCTGTGGCAGTCCTGAGCCGTGATGTAGCAGTCCTGTGGCAGTCCTGAGCCGTGATGTGGCAGTCCTGTGGCAGTCCTGAGCTGTGATGTGGCAGTCCTGTAGCAGTGCTGAGCCATGATGTGGTAGTCCCGTAGCAGTACTGAGCCGTGATGTGGCAGTACTGTTGTAGTCCTGTGGCAGTCCTGAGCCGTGCTGTGGCAGTCCTGTAGCAGTCCTGTGGCAGTCCTGAGCCCTGATGCGGCAGTACCCTTAACCTGGCTGTGACAGCATGCTTGGCCATGGACGATGCGCCACCCGAGCTGCGACTGCATTGTGACGGCTGGCGTGACCCAGACAGGCGTGGTGATGCGAATCGTGTCATTTCCCGTGACCGCTGTCTTGACTGGTGCTGTGACCTGGACCGTGACCGAAGTGTGGTCTGTGACCTTGAGTGGTGCCCTTGATTGCTACCGTTGAATATGAACGGCTGGTTGGAAGCCATGAGCGAGTGTGGAAGGGACAGCCCTCCTCCACCTAATGAAAAAGTTAACATGAGCCCCACGACGTTGCCAGAAGGGGCAAAAACTACGTTTAACTTCCCCACACCCCAAACTCCTTGAAGGTTTCACCGCCCTGCCGTTGACCATCCGCGCTGATGTCGTCGTCAGTTCGTCGGCCGTGCCGTACAGCACGTCGGCCAGCTACGCCTTCACGGCCGACCTGCGGCCGGAGGCCAGCTGGACCCACGCCGAGCGTAGCCAGCAGCTGGCCGCCTCCTTCCGCAGTCTGCGGCGCGTCGACGGCGCCAGCTACGGCTCCCACCTGGACGAGTCGCTGCTGTACGTCTGCAAGACCGAGTCGCCGGCGCTCGGCCAGCTCGACAAGACCAATATCTGCAGGTGGGGTCCGACCCGCTGCTCCGATCGCCCTACGGCAACCTGATCACCCGCCAGGAAAGCAGCCATTTTGTTTAGCTCGTTTATGCGCAGTTACCGCATCGTTACTAGAGCTTTTTAGGAAGCACCGCGATTGAATTTCCCTCAACTGTTTGCTCAACGCAGCGCTTGTAGCTAATTGGCGCCCCGGGGAATTAATTGGTGCTGGGAACTTGGCCGTGTAGAGGTTGTGGTTCCCGTGGTCATTGCCATATCCATTGGGGTTACTTTGCTCCTCTCGGGTAAGCAGCAACCTTGCATCATAAAACAGGATGAGTTCCTTTTGGTTGAATTGATGGCCACCAACAGCATTGCAGGGTTGGAAAATGGACAGAGCGGGTGCCATTTTCAAGAAGTCTCAACAGTTTGACACAAATATTTGGCATAGGCAGCCGCACCTTGCTGGAGGAGAGTAAAGCCTAAGAGGCGGCGGTCGTCATTGGCAGTGGCGTAAGCAGGAGTCTACTCAGGAGCGGGCCAGGTCGGGTCATCAGAGAGCATTTCAGCTAATGGGGCCACTTAGCCGCTATAGGGACCCAATTCGCATTGGGGACTCTTTTAGACTCAGGATCCCAGTCTAATGCCCCGAGAGCCCGTTCTTGTGTGTCAGCAGCTCCCCAACATGCGTATTGCCAAAAAGTGTTTGTGCATTTGGCCCAGGTGTCCCCGCCACCCCCGGAAGGGGAGGGGGGGGGGTGGGTATTGTCCCAGAGGCGTCCTTGACTTCACCACTGGTCGTTGGTTCATCTTTATTTCTAGTCTGAACCATGTCCTATCACCAAGGCGTAACCGTGTCGCATGCAGAATTTCGCGATTGGAAGGGGGTCAACTCAAAGCTCTGCACTTAAAATCCAGTTTGGCGCCCCGCAATATTAGCATTCATTCGCACACCTATTAATGCATGAAATAAATTTGAACGGGGGAGGTACGTGGCCATGGAGGCCATGTGCTTGCGCCGCTACCCACCACATTTGCTGTCCTCTGTGTCACTCTGAACCCATGTCAAAGCCCCGCGTCGCTCCGCAGGGTATGCGGTAAGGCCTACGCTCGACCCAGCACGCTCAAGACCCACATGCGCACCCACAGCGGCGAGAGGCCCTACAAATGCCATGAGTGCAACAAGTCATTCTCACAGGTAGGAGAGCCCTCACCGGTGTCGAGGACACTTATGGCATGCTCACGCACCTGTTGATGGCTTCCTGTTGTCGGGAAGCTTTTGAAGTTTTGGATGATTGATGCGCGTAGCTTGCGGAGGGTCGGGAGGGGAGGTTTCGACGCACCGGGACACTCTTCGTATACTCTTCGTACTTTGTATTCATCTTGGTATGCGTTTGCATTTCGTATTCGTACTCTTCATCAGGCATAGTTTTTTTGTGTCTCCTGCCGCAATTTGAATGCATTTTTGGGGCTGGTAAGTCACGATATTTCAAGCTTGTAAGGCTAAGGTGGTACTCTTGCGCTCGTCTTCTACCAGTGGCAAACTGTAGTGCGCCGCTTTCAATGTTTAAGGAAATTTCGTAATTTTTGTGCTGTATAGTATCAGGCTTATGCTGCTCTCTAATGTCCCAGCACAACAAAATGCTGCGAATGTTTCATTCCCATCAGTGTAACATTATGCAAGCAATAATAACTTAATTGTGTTTTTGCCGCTGAAATTCAACTAACTAATGCACACATATCACGCATTGCAGCGCACAAGCGCACTTGTATTCGTTGTTATTACGCAGTTCACGTCTGTAATGTTGTATTTGTTTATCTTAGGAATATTTTAGGCCAATTTTGAAATGTTATGCAGCCGTATTTGATTTTATCAATGTTATGTACCCATAAAGCCTATTAGTATTATATCCGTATGCAATTTAATATCATGAGCATGCGAATAGTATGACTTTATTATATATGGTACACATTTATTTATTTATTCATTTGTGTTTGATATCTAATGCGTCGGACCTTTCTACTACCGCTGCTGACTGCTGCCTTGTGTTGATGTTAGCTGCTGTGCTCCCAGGCGGCGAACCTGACGGCGCACGTGCGGACCCACTCTGGCGAGAAACCGTTCTGCTGTCCGATCTGCGACAGACGCTTCAGCCAGTCCTCGTCCGTCACCACCCACATGAGGACTCACTCTGGGGACAGGCCGTACAGGTGCGTCGGTCACTGCAGCGCTAACAAGCTGGCTTCCAGCAGGAGGCGCGTTTTTAAGGAATTGTGGCGCACAAAAATTTTCAACTTTTGTTCTTCCTATAAAAACAGCAAATTGCCATTGTCGAAGCAACTTCTCAGCCCAACCAACGCCGAGAAGTTGAGATGTCGCTATGCTTACGTTTTGACTTCAGCTGACAGATAAAACGTGGCCATAAGGAAATTACGACTGCCCGGCCGAACGCACACGTCACCCACAGCACCCATGCCGGGACCAAAGCCTTGCAAAGTTAACAACTCCGCTCCTGGATCCTGCTCTGATGAATGTCGGTCGAGCAGTCATCAAACATTGCGGTGGAATTACAACCACATGACGCTTTGTTGCGCCTGGAACAAAAACAAAACACACTACACATCATGTGTATAAAAATCATTATTCCGGCCGCAAAGCGATCCGCAGGCTGGATCGAACCAGCCAGCGAGAACAGACCAGCGTGCCACACTTCAGCACAGTCTGGTTCCTCCCGCGTGGAGATGACTCGTAGGCAAGTTCTCGTTGGTGACCGTCACACCCCGTTCCAGATGTCGCCTCTGCAAGAAGTCGTTTAGCGACTCGTCAACGCTCACCAAGCACATGCGGATACATAGCGGCGAGAAGCCGTACCAGTGCCGCATCTGCATGCTGCGCTTCTCGCAGTCGGGCAACCTGAACCGGCACATGCGCGTGCACGCGTCCAGCGTCTGTTGACGGCGAGGACGGGCCCTGTCACGCGTCGGCTCGCGGGTCGCGCCCTCCCACGCCCCGCACGGACTGACTGCCGGCCGACCTGGCAGCTCAGCGGCGGTGTAACCGCATCGGGGGAGGGTCGGCGCGCTCCGACAGTAGCGAACGGCGACGGGCGGCCATCTTCTGACAGGCGTCACCCGGCGGCTCGATTTACCGCCGCGCGGCCGTCAACGACTGTCTGTCGTGGTCGCGTGCTCGCTGGGGAGCAGCCGTTGCTCCTGAGCGAGCGCGCCTCGGCAGGAGGGCTCGTGGGCCGCTCGTGGTCGCTCAGGAACAGTCGCTGCTCCGGAGTGAGAGCTCCTCGGCAGGAGGGCCCGTGTGCCGCACATGGCCGCTCAGGAGCCGCCGCTGGTCCCGAGCAAGCGCGCGCCGGCAGGAGGGCTCATGGGTGGACCGTGCATGGTGCCGCCGGAGCTTTGCGGGGGCTACCCCTGCAGTCCGGCTCTGAAGCGCGGCCACTGGGCCGCTGTCCGGAGTGCTCTCAGGCGCGAGCACTGGGCCGCTGTCCGGAGTGCTCGTCTAGTCGAAGGCACTCCCGCAGGTCCGGCCGTGCTGTGATACTGGGCGTGGCCGCCGGTCCCGCGCCGACCGGTGCGGGCCAGAGACGCCACGTCGTCTGACTCGGCCCGGCGGATCCGATCCCGGCCGCCCGATCCGATCCGATCCGATCCGATCCGATCCGGTGAAACGCTCAACATTACCACGTCTAGTCGCTCGAAAGCGGGCCGCTTTACCTTTACCAAACCACTGCGCCGCGAGAAACCGCGCGTCTCGGATGTATTGACGTCCAGCTAGTGTGCGTGTGTGCATGTGTGTGTATGTGCGTGTCCTTGATTAGTGTAATATACGTCGTCACATGTCGAGCGTGACCTGATGTGGTGACCCGATGATTAGACCAGAGGCTAAGCCATTTGTATCTTCGTGACGTCAACGGCCGTCAACTGGCTCTCAATTACTGATGTGCAAAGCACGGTGACGTAATCAAACAGTGACGTATTCAGATGCGTCTTTACTAAACAGAGAAACTGTGTTGCCTTTTCCACCAAAAGTAGAGCAATAGTTATAAGTGAGCATCATGCCAAGTGAGAATCATATATGATGCTTACTGAAATGTCGTCAACTGTGGAACATTTCCTTTGACAACGGCGAATAAAATAGTGAAAAGCTTGTTCACCATCAGCATGCGTGACTCGAAGCAGAAAGTCGACCCATGGCATTGAAACCATGTGTGGACTGGGCGCTGACGGCGCTCCAGTGCTGTCTTCAAGGACAGCTCACCTGAAAGGGAAGAGTGGAGGCAAACCGATAGACAGAAATATGTCACACGAGCATATCTCGCATTTGACTTTCTTTATGGGAGTCGAGGCAGCTGCAGAAATATTTAGTTGCGCAATTAGGGGGAGCCGCTGCGAACCGAGCTGGGGCGGGATGGCGTCGGCAGCGTGGATTAAGACAGGTCTGGGTCTGCTGATGTTTGGTCCTCCATTCCGAAGATGCCAAGAATCAGCCGCGACCCAATGTAAACAAACCCCAGATACCAGCGTCAAACAACATAGGTGTCGCGGGTGTAAAGGCCACATCTTATGCAAATCATCACACTTTGTTCTGGACATAAAATTTGTCAATTAGAGCTTTCTCAGGTGATGGAGTGGGTGACGGAGTGTGTGCCATGTCATTCTACCTTGTGACTCGGATGCATCCTGCATTTTAGGTAGCTTTGATGTAATGTTTTCGACGAAGTTCAGCGTATGGGAACCCGCCAGCCGGGATGAGAAAGAAATGACAAGCATGGATGCCACAGATGATTTGGCAGACCCTCTACTCATTACCGCGTTTAACGTCATTCCGCCGTGTCGTTAATTGTCTCGCGCGTTCATGCTCAAACATCGTCTTGGGTTAAGGGAGCGGGTAAAATAGTGGTGAAGCTGCGCATCTGAGAAAGCATTTGTACGGCGTTCGATTCCCGTTGAGCTCGTCCTTTTTGCCTGGATGAGAGACAGGCGACGCCATATAGCTTATACAGCTGAGTGTGTCGTTAAGCCTCAATGACAAGGACTAGGCGTGGTGTTTTCCGTGTTGAAAAAAATCCGCACCGTCTGGGGGAAAATTTGTGATGGCTTACAATACTTTAACTCGCCATCCTCTCCGTGGCAAGGGAGACACAACTTGATTTGAGGCACCCAAGACACTTCTCCGGACGTTTGAAAGTTCGCAGGCCGACGTCCCGTCTCCGGAGTCTCCGGTCATTTCATGAGCTTTTTGGAGCCCTACGCTCAGAGAGGTTCAGGACCTAGCTTTGTCGGCGTCATTTCCGTGGCTTTAGGCGTCAGGAGCACGGCGACATGTTTCATAGGTGATCCTAGACTACAATTTGCCAAGCCTCCTGGCAATTTAGCGTATTTAATGCAGTGTCATTCTTCGGACCATGAAGGTGTCCACTGGCTTTATAAGAGTTTCAGTCGACCTTTTACCGCTGCGTTGGTGACTTGCCCGTCTAGCTCCATGAACGGTCATACTTCTCAGGTCGAGCGGCTGGCATGACGAGCAGGGACCACGAGACGGTGCCGTGGTTTTGGCGGGTCCGAGTATCTAGAGATAACCGCCGTCACATCAACACTGGGACCCTCAGATCGAGCGGCTGGCATGATGAGCAGCGACCATAAGATGGTGCTGTGGTTTTGGCGGGTCCGAGCGGCTCAAGATAACGGCCGTCACATCAACACTGGGACCCTCATCCACCAAATAAGATCGCCGGGGCGCCATCCCACATGGGTCATTGGACACCGAAGGACCGTGAGAACATCTATGACCACTTGGCATGCCCGTTAAGTCATTTTACGCAGAGGTAGGCAAGTCACAATTTTCTTTAAAATGTCATTACGTAAAGCTCATTGTCAACCCTTCCGTATCAACAAGCATTCGCTTCTGTCTGGAAGCCACATCAGACGTAGTCCACGCCCAGAATATGTTCGGCGCAAAGCCAAATTTCAGCACATTTTCCAAACGGAACTGGGCGTCTGGCCGACTCCCCAGTCTGGTTTGCCCGTCGTTTTCGTCGCGACGGCCATCTTGCCCGCCGGCGCTCGCGCGCCAGTTAATCGTATCACAGGTAGCCACGGCCCCAGAACTAGGGCTTCGCCAGCACTCTGCGGGCTTCCTGTCAACAGCCCAGTCCTAATTAAATCAATAACTCCGCGCCAGTGTAGCCCACTGAAAATATATTGCTCTGCTGGGACAGAAGGCTGCACCTCGACGGCGCCGGTATCGGAAACGATAGGAAGCAAAAAAAAAAAACGCACCCGTCGTGGATAGCTTCGTCTGATGATCACTTGTACCATGTAAACCCTTTTATCAAGGAAATGGAACCAAGTACAAGGGAAGAGGAACGAAAAGTTCTGCACACTCAAGCGAAGTCCGGTGAAGCTCCAAATTGACGATATTGTCAGCGGTGGGCAAACGAACGCGAAAAGTAGAGGTGCCAAAACTCGTTCTGGCCACATTGTTTCCATGTGTTGCCATAGGAGCAACGTTTAAGCGGTTTCGAGCATTAGGCCAAGACTTCGAATCCCTGATTTAACATCTTTTGGTTACAATGTGTGCAGTTAGAAGTTTCCGATCTCGGAATCACGGTTTGTTGCCTCTATCTCGGGGCCATGTCAGTGACATTTTACTGAAGGGCGCCAAAGAACGCTCATTTCTCGCAGGACATGCACTCCCAAGGCGATTTCTAAACTGCTTTTTAAATACCTGCATCACCCTTAAGCGCATTGATATTGTTCGGCTGGCTTTTGAAAGATCAGGTCGTTCAAGATCAAGCTAGATCAAACTTAAAGATTTGGGACCGGACTGGACCGTTTGAAGGTCACATGCTTTGAATTTCAACAGCACATTTGACATGGCTTTGAAAGGTCTTTTCTGCCCTGCTCTCCACACTGATATGCTTGATGAGACTACGTGATGCTAATAGAAGACAAAACAGACCATCATACCGGCAAAAGGGTAAGTTGAATAGTGCAGTGCGCGCTATCACACAGTGGCGCGCAGTCCACGGATCCGCCATACCACTCATTAAGCGATGCGAATATTGGCCGACCCGTACATGCGTCAGTAAGACACCTAAAATAGCCAAAGGCAACATTTTCTGAAACGGCCCCAAATATGACATGTGACATGCCTCAACTGAGACAAATCGCGTGGTAATAACTGGAAAGCCGAGGAGCTCAGTTTGTTGTGACCAATATTCACCTAACATATTTGCGTTTTTCCCAATGCGTTTGTTAAGTCACTAAAAACCGAAGCTAATCCACTTTCCACTTGGACGATTAAAGCTGCCTGGCCTTGGCAGTGCCGAAGTCAGGCGACATTCTAGTGCTGCAATTTCTGAATTTGTGCGTTAACACTAAACATGAGTACATCTCTAAACTCATGCAGCTCTAAACTCCTGCTAAACCCATGAAAGGGATACATTCCAAGGTAGTGAGTGATAGCAGTCACGTCTGTTACCACCTCTGAAAGGGGTACATTCCAACGCAGTGAGTGATAGCGGTCACGTCTGTTACCACCTCTGAAAGGGGTACATTCCAACGCAGTGAGTGATAGCAGTCACGTCTGTTACCACCTCTGAAAGGGGTACATTCCAACGCAGTGAGTGATAGCAGTCACGTCTGTTACCACCTCTGAAAGGGGTACATTCCAACGCAGTGAGTGATAGCGGTCACGTCTGTTACCACCTGAAAGGGGTACATTCCAACGCAGTGAGTGATAGCAGTCACGTCTGTTACCACCTCTGAAAGGGGTACATTCCAACGCAGTGAGTGATAGCAGTCACGTCTGTTACCACCTCTGAAAGGGGTACATTCCAACGCAGTGAGTGATAGCGGTCACGTCTGTTACCACCTGAAAGGGGTACATTCCAACGCAGTGAGTGATAGCAGTCACGTCTGTTACCACCTCTGAAAGGGGGTACATTCCAACGCAGTGAGTGATAGCAGTCACGTCTGTTACCACCTCTGAAAGGGGTACATTCCAACGCAGTGAGTGATAGCAGTCACGTCTGTTACCACCTCTGAAAGGGGTACATTCCAACGCAGTGAGTGATAGCGGTCACGTCTGTTACCACCTGAAAGGGGTACATTCCAACGCAGTGAGTGATGGCAGTCACGTCTGTTAACACCTTCCCCGTCCCACACCGTAGAAGGCATATTACTGACAACTTAATATCATTGCACTTACTAACTGCAGGCCCACGTGATTTTCAGCAAACAAGTGTAGACTCTACAAGGTGTGCTACATAAATTGTTAGGCAACATATAATTGCTGCATAATTGTACACACTTGTATATGATTGCGTACAAACTGCTTGATCATCGGGTTCTGCAACAAACGACAAAACGACAAATCAAAGTTTCAATTTTGCACCCTCATCTCTCGGATTTTTATAAATAAGGGTTGCAAGGGTTGCCAACGCCAGTGAAGACGCCTGACATTTTCAGCTCCCTCAGTTGAGCGGTTTCGGAGTTACAGCCTCCGGCATTTTCGTGTTTTGTGGTTGAAGAACTACGTCAGGCGGTGATTTTTTCACTACGATGAAAGGAAAGCGTATGAACCTGCATGCCAAAAAGATGCAAAAGCTTCCAGACTATGTGTGTGTCGTGGTTGGATTCATCGTTCCACAATAAATAGTCAGTATTAACATTTGCAACGCATTTGGCGTTATTAACCTTTGCAGTACATGCAGAATCATTTTCTTACACGATGAGGAGCCTTTTCTCATTTGCATGTGAAAGAGCGTACTTTGAACGCAAGTTGCCAAAAGTAAAAAGGTGGCAATCAGCCTAGAAAGGTTTAGAAACAATATCGCAATAAGTGACTGCCTCATGCGCGTCATTCGCCGTCGGCTGTCGGCTTAACAATGCGATGGCTCGCATGCACGCAGAAGTCGACTTGTGCGCCTG